AGAGTGGAGAGTAAACACACATGCTCTGGGTAGTGTGGGAGCTCACCAGCTGCCGATGCTTTCCGTTCAAAATCGCCGTAACTCTGACTAGAAATTGGCATTTGGATTTTTAAATCTAGTATCTGTGAGCATTATGTGAGTAAAAGTATGGCCTCTGAGTTAAAGGTCACGGTGTAAACCTGAAATGATGTCTCCTGGAGCTTTTACCAACCACAGTTTCCCATTTTATGTTGTTTAATGTTGCATTTTTATCCAAAGTGCAGTGAAAGGCTCATCATTAAATATTTAAGCTATGCATTAAAATTCATAAATCAATATTTAGTCCCTTTAAGCTTGCGCAGATTCGATAACTAACAAGTACGACTGATTTACAAAGGTCTTTACTTTTTCATTATCAGCATTTAAATAGACTCTTCAAAGCCTGTTTTAAAGAGGAGCATTCAAACAGCAACTTCATCCTCATAATTATTTATTCATCAAATAGTTCCCCCAGCGTTTGTACACCCGAGGAGCAGTTTAAACAGATTCATTTTATGCGATACGTGCTTCACGCTCAGCCTTCAAGTAACACGTTACTGCTGACTTATAAGCAACACGCTGATGGCCGTGTCACACTTGCTGCAGTTCTTCTCAGCTTCTTTGGCTCAGTCCTTGGATGACAGTTGAAATTGTCAAAACAATATGTGAAATTCTTAACATTTTTGTTATTTGCGCACAACAAAAAGAGTATTTGTCTTTTCTTGTTGTTTGCACTTGCAAATGTATCAGGTTTAGGCAAGTGGCTAAGTACAAATGTCCACATGAACAATTATCAGTGCTATTTGGTGTATCTGGTCAAAATAGATGCTATGAATAATTTCAATCCCGAAACTATGTGAAGATTATTTAATTGTGTTAGTCACCGAATGCAGGATTGTTCCTCAAATAGTTAAAATGTGACAAGCCTCTGCATGGTTCAGTCATAAATGTGCGTATTGTAACACAAATATTCACAATTTTCTCCGTTTTTTTTGCTCAGTTTACGTTTTCAAACTAATTTATGAAATCCTTTGAAGATTTCAGGTTTTTATGGACAATAGAAAGAGCACGTCTCCATCTTTGTTATCACTTGGACATATTTTAGGAAACATAGGTACAGTTTTTACAACTTGAACAGTTATTGACTGTATAAGTCTATACACCTAAAACATATTTTAGAGCTTCAGTGCAACAGAGTTACACCCTGAAGGAGCTGCTCAGACAAACATTTATAAGGGGCAACAGGCTGCCAGTGGAAGAGGAAAAGGAAATGTGGTGCTGCAGCAAGGGAATAAAAACACAATACAGTGGTGTGAAAAAGTGATTTCTTTTTTCTTTTCTTTTTTTCTTTGCATATTTTTCACACTTACAAATGTTAATATTATACAAAGATAACCAGACCAAATGAATCATATCTAATTGATGATTTCTTTTTTTTTT